TACCACTGAGCCACACCCCAGCCCCTCATTGGGGCATTCTAGGCAGGGGCTCTACCACTGAGCCACACCCCAGCCCCTCATTGGGGCATTCTAGGAAGGTGCTCTACCACCAAGGCACTTGTTTCCCTAATATTTAAGCACCGTTAAAAGAGACCCTGGCAGATCCAGCAGTGAAATCAAATGTCAGTCCTCATGTGCAAATGCCAGGTTACCATGTGAGACAGAGGCAGATGTCACACCTGTGCCACAGTTCTTGTACTTCTTGCTTTGCCCATGCAGGACCAGTGCGAAGACCACCAGGAGGACAAGGAGGAGGCTGGAGAGTGCCATCACTAGCAGGAACCACCACTCCTCATAGAAGGGGACTTCAGCTTGTGCTGTGGAAAAGACCATATATAATGAGGCTCAACATCAGCTCCATACATCCATCTCCCTGGAATCTAGCAGCAGGGAAGAGAAAGAGCTCTCCAGGAGGGCTTGTCACAGCCCAGCACATGCTGTCGGGGAAAAAGGCATGCTCTTCTGGAAATTCCACAAGCTCCATAGCAGGTTTGGGAATCCACCCTTAGGAATTTTTCTGCCTTCTCTATGGAGTCAAGCTTGGGGGTCTGTCATGGTTACTTTTAACTTTCAACTTGGCAGGATCTAGACTCACCCTGAAGCCAAGTCTCTGGGCACTGTAAGGGGTTATCAGGTCAGTCAGGTTAACTGAAGAGGGCAGAAGACCCATCTTAACTGTGGGTACCACCATTCCTTGGCTGGGGTTCTAGGATATATGTGGTGGTTTAAATAAAAATGGGTCCCATAGGCCCATAGAGAATGGCACTATTGGGGGTGTGGCCTTGTAGAGTAGGTGTGGCTTTGTTGGAGGAAGTCTGTCTTTGAGGTCTCAGAGGCCCAAGCCAGGCCCAGTGTCTCACTGTCTCTTCCTGCTGCCTGCGGATCCAGCTGTAGAACTCTCAGCTACCTCTCCAGCACCATGTCTGCCTGCATGCCGCCATACTTCTTGCCATGATGATAATGGACTGAACCTCTGAACTGTAAGTCAGCCTCAATTGAATGCTTTCCATTATAAGAGTTACTGTGGTCATGGCGTCTCTTCACAGCAATAGAAACCCTGACTAAGACACTCTATAAATCAAGAAAGGGAGCTGAGTGTGCATTTGTTGGTCTTTGCTTCTTGGCTGTCAATGTGATGTGAGTGGCTGCCTCAGGCTCCTGCCTCCATGACTCCTATATCATGATGCATTGTACCCTTGAGCTGGGACCCAGAACAAGTTGCTTTTGTCAGGGTACTGTGTCATGGCGGCAGGATGAGAAACAGGACAGGATGGACACACAGTAGACCCCTCTTCTACTTCTGACCTTATCCTGAGAACCATCACCATGCCCCTCCTAACCCCACCTCCTTAGAAACACTGACTTAAAGTGGGACCCTGCTTCCCCTCTCTGGCTCAGCCTTCCCTCAAGGGATGCTGTGCTTTGCTCCATTACACTTGTTGATCTCACCATGGCAACCGGGTCCCAACCATCTTGACCATTCTCTACTATCCTACCCCCTCACTCACATCCTTTAACACTGTCACTAGAGAAATCTTCCTAAATGGAAATACCATATCCCTGCCCCCGCCCCCCTCCACTGGCTCCCCTTGGTGCCAAACAAGGCAATGGCTGAGCCCTCCAGGTCTCTGGATTTCATAGTTACTGTTGGTCTCAGAAGCCCACTGGGTATGTTTAGCCACCTGCTGGCCTCCTCCACTGGTCCAGGAGGCCCTGAAGTCCGGGGCTGTGTGTTATTTAATGTCCCTAGCAAAACTCAGCTGAACTGTGGGTGCTGAGTGTGAACCTGCTTTTGAGACATCTATTCAAAAATGTTTCGTGTAAAAACTGCTTAGGCAAAGGGTCCGCTTCCTCCTTCCCGCCTGTTCTATTCTGTTCACTAAGAGATGAAAATGGGAAAATGTCTTCTCTACAGGTGCTGGGCCTGTAGGGCCCCACTCCTGCACCACTTTCAGGGGTGTCCCTGTGGGGGAGCGGGTTAAGTGGCACCGAGGGCCCTGAATGACGAGCCTCTTACAGGAAGAGCCGAGGGTCTGCTTCCAGCTGCCCAAATCTCCAGAAAACACTTCCACCTTCACATAAAGTATCTCACTGGCTGGATGACGAATAAGTGCATGCTGGGAATAAAGGGGAAATTGGCTTTGGATAATGGTACACCACAGGGCTTCTCAGGCGATGACAGTGTTTTGAATCCGAAGGATGTAAGTGGGGTGTCTTGCTGTGCATTCAATATCCCATGTAGCAAGTCCCGTGACTCTCAGGCTGGCCACCCAGGAGTGCCGGCCAGCTCTGCCTCTTGGCAGGGGAGAGAGACCTCAGCTGTCCTGTGGGGAGTTCTTATTCCAGAGACTGGGTCCTGATGTGAGGCCAGCGTGTGAAGGTGGCTAGTATTTCTGAAGGATGTCATGAGTTGACTGTGGTCCAGATGGCAGCCACGGCTGTCTTGGATGCTGTGTGATCTCAGAAGTGTTTGTGGATGATGCCTCACGGAAGAAATAAGGGAGCTGTATTCCACCTGCTGTCTGCTGCGTGGGGTTCAAGGCCACATGGGCGTGAAGTCGCTTCATACCAGTTCTTCACAGAGCAAGCAGGGTTTTATATCCTTTTTCGTGTGTGTGTGTGTGTGTGTGTGTGTGTGTGTGTGTGTGTGTGTGTGCCAGAGGTGAACTGTAGGTGTCATCATTAGGAATAGCACCCATCACCTTTTATACAGGGTACCTCATGGCCCTGGAGCTCACAGATCAGGCCCCAGGGATCCTCCCTCTACCTATGCAGAGCTGAGACAGCAAGTGCCTGTCACCATGCCTGGGTTTTTGATATGGCATGGAAATCCTACCTTGTCTGTCGAGTGTCCTTGGCAGTGGCTCAGAGTCTGGGGTTCTGTTTGAAGAAGGCAGTCCCAGGGAGGAGCTGCATAATACAGAGGGTCTATACCCGTGCTCCCCACTGCGATCTACAGCAGCTCCTCCACCCAGCTGGAGGCCAGGCCTCCATGTGATGGGCGCTTGCTTCCACTTGATGTGTCCCCCAAGTGTCCTGACGGGCTTACCTGACACCGCTGTGGAAGGGCGGCTGGGTTCCCCAAAGCCTGCCTTGTTCACAGCCACCACCCGGAACTCGTAGGTCACCCCTTGCCGTAGTTTGTCCAGGCCCACGGTGTACGATGTAGCGCTCCGGGGAATGTCCTTTGCAAACATGTCCCATAAGCCTTCATCTGCAAGAGGGATCAGAGGTGGAGCAGTGGTTAGGGCAGCTCTTCTGGAGATGAGCCCTAGGCACCTGACTACCCATGTGCAGCGCTGGCCAGCTCACAGCGGCCTGGGACAGGGCATCTGGGCATCCAGCCTCAGGGGCGGGAGCAGACCACGGTGGAGAGGCGTGCCTCCTTCATCAACAAATGTCTCAGAGGAGCGAGCTGGGCACGATGATTTATTTATTTGTTATTATCTTTATTTATTTTTTGTGGGGTTATGGACATGTCACAGTGGAGATCAAGGGACAACTTGTGGGACTTAATTCTCCATCTACCATGAGAGTTCTGCCACCAAAATTGGGTCATCAGGCTTGATTAAACCATCTCACCACTCAGGAGTGGCATTCTCTCCTCTCTCTCCTTCTTACCATATTGTCATGGGTTCTAGGTCCCCCCTGGTTTCCCACTTGATGTCACCTTAGGGACACTGGCTCCTTCTGACTCACTGCTTCCCCTGCCTGTCCTGTGCTATGCGCCCCATTGCTGACCCTTTTGATCCCATTCTTGACCTACAGACAGCTCCACCTGGACACTGGCTGGTCACCAGCTGGCCTGCACTCATTGCGAACGGGTTCCAACCCTGTTCTGACTGGAAACAAACCCAGCCAGCTGGTTGAGGGGACAGTTTGAGCCATGGCTTCCTGTCTTACTGTTCCCATCCCTGTGGTGGTACGCGGCGTTCTCCATGCATTGTGGTGGACAGAACGGACATCTGTGCTCCCGGAGTGGCTGTAATCCATCTATCTTGGGCTTCATCTCTTTTCAGAGCAGAGTGTTGGATTATATGGAAAACGCAGGCTCGACCCGTGGTTGGGGGCAACGCTGTCGGAGCGCCATGTTCTCTGCTGGGGTTTAGACCTGGTTTCTGCCTTGAAGGCCACTTACTTCCCCAGTGAAAATATATTATCAATGCCAAGTGTCTTGAGCACCTGCAGGGTCAAGCCTGCCCTAAATGCAGAGTGAGTGTTTCACTTGCACCCCACAACTGCTAGGGATCAAACCCAGCCGTGCTCCACGGCTGAGCCACTCTCCCAGCCCCTCACTGAAGGTTTCCAGGCAGGTGCTCTACTGCTGAGCTAATGTGCCCCAGCCTGACATTTTTGGTCAATGACCAGTGCTACCAGGATGCTCTTTTATTTTTCTTTCTTTCTTTCTTTCTTTTTTTTTTTTTTTTTTTTTTTTAAGATTTTGTATTCTGGACAGATGCTTGCAAATCTATGTTCTCAGTAATAGTCACGGTGCCAGAAGGTAGAAACCACCCAAGTGACCCACGGACAGACAAAGGGCTAAACAATAAACACTGCATGTGCACACAGTGGAATACCACTCTACTTTCAAAATGGAGGGATTCTGTAATAGGAGCTGTTTGAGCCCTGTCCTGAAGCATCGCCCCGAGTGAGGTAGCAGGTAACTGTTGCGTTTGTCTGTGACCTTGAGGCAGATGGCATGGCCGCTGGGGGACTCTTAAGACCTGGGATGCATGAATGCAGAGCTCTCTTTGCTATCTTGTGTTTTTGGATGCTGGGACAGACCAGGGCAGAGTTTGCAGAGGACAGCGTTGGACCATGTCTCACCCTTCCAGGATCCTGTGACAAATTCCTTTATTCTGTCTGGTGAGTTAACCCCCAAATAAATTCCTTTGATCATTAAGCAGACTCCGTAGATTGTTAGTGATATAATGCTGAACTATGCCCCAGCCTGACATTTTGCTAGCTCTGGTGCTACCAATATGCTTTTTTTTTTTATTTTTAAGATTTTTGTATTCTGGATAGATGCAAATCCACATTCTCAGTAATATTCACAGTACCAGAAGGTAGAAACTACCCAAGTGACCCATGGACAGACAAAGGGCTAAACAAAACACTGTATGTGAACACAATCGGCTATTACTCCACTTTCAAAATGAAGTGATTCTTACACTATCCATGGGTGCTGAGGACATGATGCCCAGTGAAGCCAACTAGTTACAAAAGGCCACATACTGCACAATTTTGTTTAGATAAGGTCCTCAGGGTTGTTCAAGTGCTGGAGACAGTGTAGAATGCTGGGTTCCAGGGAGTGGCGCCGGAGTCTGGGTTTCCAGGATGAAAGATGGATGATGGTGAGGGATACACAGCACCATGAAGTTCCTCAAAGTCACTGAGCCGTTTAAGTGTGGCTGGGGAGATGGCTCAGGGGTAAACGGTTTGCTGTCTAAGTATGCAGCCCTGAGTTCAATTCCCAGCTGGGCATGGAGGCACACACTTGTAGTCTCAGAACTGGGAAGGCAGAGATAGGAGGATCCTCAGTGCTCTGTGGCCAGTCAGCCCGGCCGAATGGGTGAACTCCAGGCTAGAGAGAGGCCCTGTGGACGATGACTGAAGAATGGTACCCAAGGTTGATCTCTGGCCTCCACAGGGACAGGGACACACACACACACACACACACACACACACACACACACACACACACACACAATGAAGTGGTGACTTTTATAGTTTTCCACAGTAGGTAAATACTAAATTTATGTAAATTTTGGTATTTAGGAAAACGTGAATAAGATCAAAGCCAGAATGTCTTATGTAGAAAAAAAGAAAAAGGTGATTCCAAAGCACCAACCAACAGAGTGGAGGCAATATAGCCAGGGAAGTGGTCATGGGGCACTGGCATGGTGGGCCATGCACTTGCATGGTGGAGGCAGGGCAATCAGAAGTCACCCTTGGCTTCATAACAAGTCCATTCTAGGCCAGCCTGGGCCACACAAGGCCATATTTCAACAATAACAACAACAAACTGAAAGCCCAAAGCACTGTGGCTGAACAAACTGTCTATAACTACGTAGCCTTAGTGCAAAGCTTGGCTCTGGCATTGGCTGTGTGACCTTAGGCAGAGAACTCAACCTCTCTGGGCCTTCTCTTCAAATGGTGATAACATAGGTATGTACAGTGTAGGCCTGCCTTGAGGATTCATTGTTTTTATTTATAAAGTGATTAGCATACTGCTTCGCACTCAGTGTAACATGAGTGACTGCAAATAAAATACAAATTCCCCAAGGAGGCTGCTGTTAAAAGGTGGGTGCAGAGCCTAAATTGTTCCTATAATGTAGAAATCCTTCCCAGGTTCAATTTCCTCTCACAGGCAGAGGTATGCGGGACTTGAAAACGCAGGCGATCTGGGGAAGAAAAGCCCACTGAATATACATGTGCACGTACTGCCTGTTTTTATGGCCCAGGAGCGATGGGAAACGAAACCTTGACACATTTCCTTTGCAGAAGATGCACTCGGAGGGATTAGCCCAATGGTAAACAGGAGGAGACTGCCAGTGTGTGAGTCGGTGTTTGCTCAGGGTTGAGACTTTGCCCTGGCGAAGCCCTGATAGTCACAGGTTAATGAATCAGGCGATGCTGATGGTTTTAACGGCACCAGCAGAGGCTCGAGCCCAGTGATTTATTCCTACATATTCACATCTGGTTGTTGTTCATCAGGAGAGCCGCCGGGGTGGCAACTGGGGCATAGGTGGTCCCTCCCCCTACCTAAAATAACAAGTTTTATGTGCACAGAATGGATGTCAGTGTGGTCTGAGGATTTCTAAAAGGTTTGTTTTTATTTATATGTATCTGTAAGTGTTTATGCGAATGTATGTCCTTTGCTTTTGGCATCCAGAAGAGGGAGCTGGATTTCCTGGGGCTGGAGTTACAGGCAGTTGTGAGCCACCTGAAATAGATGCTGGGAACTGAACTCAGGTCCTCTGTAAGAACAGCAAGTGATCTTAACCACTGAGCCACCTCTCCAGCCCTGGTTGACATTTCTTACATGAATTTTGCTTAAGAACAGTCTGGAGTGATAGTGCCTTTAATACACCCAGCCTACAGAGTGCTGGAACCCCTCTGACATTTCCTTGTTCACCTACAAATATTCAGGGCCCACACTGTGGTGGGATGCTCCTCTGCCCCTCAGGGAACAGGAGTCTCCTAGGCTAGGTACAGTCTAGGATGGAGGCTGGGAGGAGAGGGAAAGTGAGAATATGTGTGTTCCTTTCCTCCTCTGCCCCCGCCCCCCATTCCAGGAAAGGACAGCTGTTCTACCCACAGCTTCCAGAGCATGTGCTCAGTTTACTTCACTGTTTATACCCCAGGGCGCTTGAATTTTTTTTTATTTTTTTTAATTTTTTTATTTTTTTGGTTTTTTCGAGACAGGGTTTCTCTGTGTAGCTTTGCGCCTTTCCTGGAGCTCACTTGGTAGCCCAGGCTGGCCTCGAACTCACAAAGATCCGCCTGCCTCTGCCTCCCAAGTGCTGGGATTAAAGGCGTGCACCACTACGCCCGGCTGGGCGCTTGAATTTTTAAAGAATTCATTAAACATTGGTTCTTACCTATCCACCCACCTACCCATCAACCTACCCATATATATTCATCCATCCCCCACAACCCACCCATCCATCCATTTATCATCCACCCATTCACTCAACTGCCCACCCATTCATCTACCCATCTATACCCACTCCCTCATCTATTCACCTCTTCACTGACTCACCCACCCATCCATGTCCCCATTCATCCACTCACCTATTTATGTACTTACTCACCTATCCATCTATCAACCCATCTACCGACCTGATTCATCCTCTCATTCATCATCTACCCATTCACTCAACTACTTATCCATCCATTTATGTATCCATCCATTCACTCATATATGCACCTACTTACCAACTCACCCATTCATCTACCCATTCACCCACACACCCATTTATGTACTCATTCACTTACCCACTCACTTATCCATCCATTCATCCACCCACCCACCTACCTACCTGTCCACTCACTTATCCACTCATCCATCTATCTACCCACCCATCTCTCTGCCCACCAACCTAATCACCCACCAGTCATTCACTCACTCATCTACCTACCCATCTATTTACCCCTCCAGGCAGCCATCTTTGCTTCCCATGGCCTCTTTCAGGCCCCAACTCCACTAGA